TGTGTGTGTGTGTGTGTGTGTGTGTGTGCGTGCGTATCTGTGTGTGTGTGTGTGTGTGTGTGTGTGTGTGTGTGTGTGTGTGTGTGTGAGGGAGGAGGGGAGGCTGTGAGATACAGATAACAAAAACAACCCACTTGTGGCCAACTTATCTCTCTTTAGGCAAAACATTTACTTTGAGTGGACAAAGTCTTCTTGTTCCCCAAACAAGAAGATTTCCAATCATAAGCACATGACATCATCAAACTGCTGATTCCAGGCTGCGCCTGTACTGTGAGTTTAAATATGTGCACTAATATATCTATGAATAGATGACTGTTAAGTGCTGTCATTTTTTTTTTTTGTTGTTGAATGAGATCTGTTTGTGACTGCGTTATAAAAGCAAACTAAATAAAAAAACTTTAATGAAAAAAAAGGAACAAAATCTACGAGTTTTACGGGATATCGAGGCGTGTTTACCGGTGTTTTCGGGTCTTTGGGTGGAGCTGCTATAGACCAAAATAGTAGGGATGGGACGGTTTCTGAAAACCGTCCGAACCGTTGGGTTCTGTCTCGGTTCGGTTCGCGTGTGTACCGCACGGTTCATGCTGCTCCTTTTTCTCATAGGAAGCGTTTACACTCCAGACCAGAAGGTGGCGCTACTGCGCCCAAAGCCAACCACCAGTAGGAAACAAGAAGAAGAAGAAGCAGCGTAGTCGATAAAAATCAGACCGCCAGCAGCAGTTTATATTCTGCTGTATGGACCAGTTTGCATTTAGAGGGAAGCACATGTTGGAATTAGCACTGTTTCCTCTCTGGCAGAATCTCACCTACTTTTAACCTCAGACTGTCACAATAATGTATCAAATGTCAGACTGATTTTTTCTTTCAGTTTTAACCTGACTATACAAGACATAATAGATTTTCCTAACGATCAACATATACCGAACCCAAAACCCTGACCACGAAACCGTGAACCGAACCGAACCGTGGATTTTGTGAACCCTAGTGTTTACCAGCGTTTTCGGGTCTTTGGGTGCAGCTTTTATAGCCCCAAATAGGGGCTCTGACCTGGTCTTTGACGGGGGTGACGTAGCCCTTCTCCCTCCAGTCGATCGCCCGCGGTGCCTCCAGGAAGTTGGGCTCCAGGAACAGGGACCCCCGGACCTTTTTCTCCGCTTTGCGCTTGTAGCCGTTCATGATCTGCCTGAACTCCTCGTTAGTCTGCGGGAAAAAGGGAAGAAGGGAAGAAGGTCGGGGGGAGTTAGGGACGCTGTTATGGAGGGGAAAAGCCAACGTTTTGACTTTTATTTTGGCTATAAACTAAATAATGAGCTCATCTGTGCTGGTAATGAAAGTAAATTCAACTTATATTCTCCTCTAAAATACTTCTTCCACCAGAAAGTATCTAACCTCTCCTTTATATGTTTAGAATTCATTCCTCTAGACAGCTTTAAATGGTTTCGAATTCACAGACAGAAGCAAATCAATGGTGAAATTATGGAAAATTCTGTAAATATCGTCATATTATTCCTCCATCTGTGTTTATTTTTTGGAATTTCCATGTTGATTTCTTGAATCAACATGGAAGAAATGTTTAGATATAGTTGATGATGATTCAGAATTGACTAAATGTGTAAATATACGTCTAATATGAATGATTACATACGTTCCTGTGGTGGTCCAAGAGCCTGTCCACCAACGTTTTGACTTTTATTTTGGCTGCAAACTAAATAATGAGCTCATCTGTGCTGGTAATGAAAGTAAATTCAACTTGTATTCCCCTTTTCCAGAAATAAAAGTATTTAACCTATCCTTTATATATTGAGAACTTGTTCCTCTGGACAGCTTTAAATCAACATGGAGGAAATGTTCAGATATAGTTGATGATGATTCACAATTGACTAAATGTGTAAATATACATCTAGTGTGAATGATTAGAGTGTTTTTCACAGGTTCCTGTGGTGGGCCAAAAGCCTATCTGCCAACATTTTGACTTTTATTTTGGCGGCAAACTAAATAATGAGCTCATCTGTGTATGTAATGACAGTTAATTTGACTTCTATTTACCAAATTGGCATAAATGTTCTTGTTTTTTCAAATGAAAATCATAGTTACGCTTAACACTAAATGAAAAGCATCGTTTTGGTCGCTTATCTTTGCCCCCCCCCTCACATCCGGGGGGGTTTCCGTGCCCTCACCATGTCCCCGAAGTGGTTCATGCCCAGTCTGTAGGTGTGCTTCCCCATGGAGTGCTCCAGATTGTGCATCTCGATCTTCTTCAGGTTTTTCTCCCACACCATCCGCCTCCAGCCCTCCTCTTTCTGAGGAACAAAACCCGGTCAGACCGGTCTGGGGGAGGGCCGCGGGGCCCCACGCCTGGGGTTGTCAAAAGTATCGATACTCGAAAAAGTATGGATACTAAAATGTTGTATCCGGATACGATACTCATTTTCAAAAGTATCGATACCACGCGTCCCCTTCTCTCTGATTTATTTATGTATTTATTTACGTTGTTTATGATAATTTACAAGACGTTAGCCTTGCTAGCTGCGGATAATGGCTAATAATAACATGCTAACATTAATCAAGTACATATCCAACTCCGCCCACATCCAAGTCGGCCATTTTGATTAGGTCACCAATAGGAAGATCCCAGGCAAGAAAATCCTAATTACTTCATGGCAATATAGACATTTAAAAATAGTTAAAAGAATTTTTCAAACACTTAATCAAACTCTATACATATTATGTTAAAATGGTGTATATTAAATCGGTCTGTACATTAAGTCCAAACAAGTTTAACCAAAAAATATTTATTTCTCACAATTATGAAGGCTTGAGGGTTAGAATTAGGGTTAGGGTCATTAATGTGGGCCACCAGTAACATCAGTAAAAGGTCAGTTTGAAATGAAAGACACAATTCATTTAAATTTTGGGGTCTTTGTTTTTATCCTTGTGGTATCGAAAATGGTATCGAGTATTTTCCTGAGTGTCGGTATCGAGTTGAAAATTTTAGTATCGTGACAACCCTACCCACGCCTAAATGAAACGCCATTACCTGGTGGTATTCTTTGTTGTGCCAGCTCCTCCAGAGGTTCCAGTGCTGGTCCAGCTGTGGGTCCAGGCTGGGGGCCGAGAGGGCCGCGCTCAGGCAGGCGGCCAGCAGAGCTAAAGGCAGCATCGTGGGGCCTCCGGCTGCAGAAGGACAGCAGAAACTCTATTTACCATAACTAAACGTACACGTTTCACAACATCTGAAGTGATAGTCGATCAAATATTATTAAAAAAAAATATTTTATCTATTTTTCCTATGACTTCGGTATGTTTCCAACATACGTATGTTGGAAATTTACTTCGGGTGTCGAGCCGAGTATTTATAATGGTATTTATAATATTTGTTTACGTTTAAACATAAATGCATAAACAAATATTAATTTAAACAATTATA